TACATGGCTTTAGGAAATGGTGTAGCGCCACCTATTGGGCCTAATATGGGAAAATGATACAAAAAGTTAAAAATTCATAAAAATTCAATCAAAAAATCCATAGATGGCGGTGCGTACAGATTAACATCACGTACGTGTAAATCCATGGGGTATACCCTTAACGGCGCAGTGGCCTAATCGCTAGAGCACCCGTCTCCTACACCGGGATTCCGGGTTCGAGTCGGCTTTTCCCCTTTTTTCCTTTTCCTTTACCTCTTTAGTATGTATTATTTTTACTTTTTTACTTTTTATTTTTTATATTTAATGTCTTTTATCTTTTGATTTCTTATTTTTTGATTTCTTATTATTTTTTACAGTTTGGAATGGGATGGGATATGACATGGGATGGCATGGGATGGGATGGCATGGCATGGGATGGGATGCGGTGCGATGGGATGGGATGGCATGGCATGGCATGGCATGGCATGGCATGGCATGGGATGGGATGGGATGGCATGGCATGGCATGGCATGGCATGGCATGGGATGGCATGAGATGGGATGGGATGGCATGGCATTGAATGGGATGGGTGCATGCATGGATGGATGCATGGATAGATAGATAGTTAGATTTTTTGGGCATTTTCCTTTCAACTAAGCGGTCACCAACTGAGTAACGCCACTGATTTCCCCGGGCAACGCCGGGTATCCCGCTAGTACTATATAATGTGTTTAAATTATACAATATTTAATATTCGTAAATGTTAAAATCATGACTATACCTTCTTATACCTACTAATTATTCTTAATTTTCTATTCCAATACGACACTAGCGTAGAAATCCAAATGCCAAAAACATTTTAGCAAATGATCTACCATATAGTTTACCTGTCTATGAGGTGCGATGATACAGGTACGTGTATACATAGCTATCATAGCTATAGTACTAGAGCTAGTGTATACATAGCTCCAAGAAACGGTCTTTGCTATAGGGTTAGGAGATTGTCAATGTGTATATTGACGTTAGTCACACAGCCTGGTCGGGTTAGTGTATGTTATACACAGTGACTGCGTATACAAACCGCCCATAAAATCAGGTATAAAATCTCTCAATGTCAGCTACGTTATTAGTAACATCACAGATCACAGGCACTTGCAGCGTTTCAATAAAATATAATGCTAACTAAATACGAAATATATTTACTACCAAATGCTTAATGTTTCTATACTCTCTTTCACCTATTATTGCCGACAGTTTCCTGTAAATTCCGTCCAAATCCTACGTCCAACCATGCATTTACGCCCTCGGCGCCATTACTTTCGCGGCGCGACTGTTGCACGCTTACACTTATATATATAGGGTATATAGGGTATATATATATAGGGTATATATATATATATATATACA